ACTAAATGTCTGTGTCCCTGCCCATCTCGGACCATTCAAGGGAAAGACATGATGTCAGGCTCCACAGACAGACAGGGCCACAAGGAGGGGTCCATCAGGCTCTGCAGCATGATGAAAACAGCCCATATAATCACTCTACCCTCTTTCCTCAGATTCCATGTGCTCTAATGTCTAATTCGGTCACTTGGTTTCCTTACGGTACACAGAAGGCAAGTGTCCCAAATAGTGACCAGGAGAATTCTGGTTGGTGAAAAGGCCAAGTCCAAATTCTCTGAAGATGAACCAATATGCTTTTTGATTTACAAATGAGTGCACAAAGGAGTTGTTGGGTGGCACAAATGATTAAGCACTCCACTACCTAACGGAAAGGTTGGTGGTTCGAATCCACCCAGAGGCACCTTGGAAGAAAGGCCTAGTGATCTGCTTCTGAAAGATCATAGCCACTGAAAACCCTATGGAGCAGTTCTACTCTATACACGTTTGATTGTCATGAGCTGGAATCGACTCGACGGCAACTGGCTTGGGTTTTTGGTATATGTGAACATGGCTGGCATCCATCTGGCTCTGGCAGGAGAATAAAAATGAGTTTCTGAACATAAAGAGCTCAAATCCACGCCCTGCCTGATACAGGGAGCAGGCCATGGACTCTTCTTTCTTGTTGCCATCCACACTGCAAAGACAGATTTCTCCAGGTCCTCTCCCAACAGGCAGAGGTGGAGAGGAGCAGATATTTCCAAGTTATATGCAGTGTGCAAAGGTGCACTTGTATAGTCTGTAGGTATTATATGCATAATCAGCATTATAAAATTGATAATCTTGTGGCATCTAGAATAGCAGATGGGTGAAGAGGGCATGAACTGTGTCTCCCAGCATCGAACCAAAACATGTAGTACGCTTATTAGTTTAATCTCGGCATTCGAAAGGAAAACAAATTAGTGTCATTAGGAAGAAAGTTTCCTGGCCTCATATTATACTACACTTTACCTGATTAACTTGATTCTGGAGAGACGTTAGAAGCCCTTCCCGTTGTTCATCTTGTCCCTTAAGGCACGTAAGGACCAGCGAGAGGAAAGGCTGTTGACTCAAAAGAGACATACTACGAAAGAAGTAATACCATGAGATTCAGTTAGAGGGGATGGATTACTTCCTGTTGCAACACTAATTTCTTTCCCTTGGATTATTTGCTCTTATTTATTTTACTATTATAAAAGGGGGGGGGCAGGGGGCGGGGACAAACAGCCAAAGACTACTTGAAAAGTTAAATCATGTCTCTACTAACAAGATTAAAAGCCACCGTAATGCTTCCAAGTAATTCAATATGCCCTATTGTCCCTTGAAGGCATTTCCAAATTCTATACTACGTGTAAGGAGGGACAGGAGATTTGAGAAAACTGTGCTTTACATCAATAGGAAAAATTTTAAAAATACACATAAGAAGGACCATCAGTGTATACACAGAATACAATGTAAGCTTGAAACATTTCTCATAGTTTAGAGTCCAGGAAACAGGCCTATACGTATGTTGTGTTTTTATTTTGTTTGCTTTTTTTGTGTTTTGGCACATTTCTCGAGACTAAACCCTGAGGTACTGGTAGAGCTCAGATTAGAAACCAGGTCTGAAGAGTCAACGATGCTCGCTGGCGCCCTCTAGTGGTCAGCACCACATTCACATCCCATAGCCTTGGCTTGTAAACAGCTTTCAGGGAATGGGGCACAAATTCTACTTCACATTGGCATTCTGATAGTATTTCTTCAATCAGCAGAGAACAGCTGACCAATAATATAGACAAAGTGCTACAATGGAGAGAAAAACTTCTTCCAATGAGATCAAAGCTAAAATATTTCAACTGGCTTCATCTTACACCAAGCAGTACTGAGAAACACTAACTTTGGAAGAAATGATCTTGAAAGTCTCTGTAATACCACCTGTCCCCCTCCCTGGGATATGAGGCAATGTAAGTACCATCACCCATTAGCAAATAAACCCTGAAAACTAAAAGTGACACTTCTGGCTGGTTTACTCATCCTGGCAAAGATGGCCAAGCAACCACGTGGCCAACAAAACCCATACAATGCTAGGTCTCTGCAGAAATTTTCTGTAGTGAAGAGCCCAGGCTCAGAAGCCAGACAGCCTGGGTGTAAGCCCCAGCTTTAGGATTTCTTAGCTGTATGAACTTGAGCAACTTAACCTTTCAGTACCTCAGTCTCCCCATCCATAAAAAGGAGATAATGAGCAAAGTTACCGCATATGATTTCTGTGAGAATTTTAATGAGTCTTTTACAAAAAGAATTAGCATTATGTAATACCTCAATAAATGGCAGCTACTAAAATGTTACTAATTAGAGGACAAGACGCCTGTCTGTTCAGGCTTTTTAAAAGATGGACGAAATTATGGCCATTTTTCTCCTTTACTTCTGGGCTGTTGAACATTCATTGTGTTCTGGCTTTAGCATGAGGTTCTGCTCTTTCTCAGTAACGCGGTTACTTTTCAGATGTAATTGTCTGACACCTCTTCTTGGCATAAAATAAATGAAGCAAACATTAAACTTAACGGCGAATAAGTTTTAGTATCTAGTCTAGAGTAAGAGTCCTAGATGCTAAAAGCATCAGTAACTATTTCAGGGTCTAACATGACAGAATTATAAGCAACAGCTAAATAAAGAAAAATAGGTATAAATAATTAAAAATGAAATACAGGGACCAGGTGGCATCCAGATCGGATTCAGTCTGTCCAAAGAGGGACCCAAAGGTCAGCACTGTTAACAAGTTCAGCGGTGATTTGGATACGCTATCAGAGTTGAGGACTACAGTATGACTATTATAACTTGGAACTTTTTTCGGACAGAGCTTTGCCTAACACAGAATATGTCCAAGTTCCAGCTGAAAACCAGATTTCCACGACCTCTGGGTACGATAACCATGTATGTTCGCAGGGTGTAGATTTCCTTTCCACTCTCCCGTAAACAGACACGGTTAAGCTATACCTTTTCTGTTTCTGCCGGTCTCTCTCCTTCTTGGAAGAGGAACCCAAGTGCTGCCCCTTCTCCAGCTCTTCCCCGGCAGCTTTCAGCACTCTACCCTGCACAGAAGTCGGCAGCCTGGCGATCAGGGGGGCCACCAGCCACACACCCCTGCGTTCAGAGGAGCTAAAATAAGAAACAGGTGTTAAACCCAAACAAAAGTCCTTCTTCTCCGCTGTCACGGTTAAAACACAGACTCCCAGTGGAAGCTGTTACGTACAAGACACATGGTCTAGTCTCAAATTTATCTTTTATTTCTACACTATCCTCCTGGAAATAACATGTCTGCAATACTTTCCACCCACACGTACAGAAAGCAGTAAGAAGTGGGGCTCTGCGGGGATCCCATACTAGCAGCTTTTTCTGTCATCTATGAAAAGTGTTTTTCCGCGATTCTGGCTCTCTGATCAGAGTTCATTTCACCAGAAGACAGCACACTTTTCTGACATGGCTACAAAATGAAATATTCTGATTCTGTTTAAGCATAGTAGTGACCAATTTAAAGGTTTTAAAAGTCACCAGGTACACTTTACATCATGACATATAAGTCCACGTGCCTTCCACAATTAAAGTGCTATTTCAAGATTTTCGTATGCTTCCTGCTTCTAATTTTGAACACAAATTTCCGTAATACTGTTGTATAGAATTGTCATTTACTAAGGATCGTGGAAAAAGTGTTTCCTATATAATGAATGGAGTCCTGGTGGCACAGTGGTTAAGAGCTCAGCTGCTAACCAAAAGGTCAGCAGTTCGAATCCACCAGCTGCTCCTTGGAAACCCTATGCGGGCACTTCTACTCTGTCCTATAGGGTTGCTATGAGTCAGAATCGACTTGATGGCACCTAACAACAACAACATATACTGAATAGCATAAGACACTAAAGAAATAAATCAACCCTTAGTGCTATCTATGGTTCCAAGGGGTCTGGGTGTAGTCACAAACATACACGCTTACGGTACCCAGAGTTCACTGAAATTTATTTATAACATTAAGATCACTGAAATTTATTTATAACATTAAGATATCATCCATCCCAGTTCACCTTTTAACTTATTATTAAATAACAGTAATTGTCACTTACAAGTAGTTACTTTCTACACATTCCTGTGGCTTTATGGGAAAAAAAATAGCTGTATTACATAAATAAAATGTCACTGTTACATGTGAAAAAGTAATGACAGCCCAATAAAGCTACAGAAAAAAATACCTTAGAAATGTCTTGATTCCATTCTGTCTCGTGCTACTTGCATCAGTACTTCCAATGCTGTTTGGGTTGAAGAGGCCCATGCCAGAGCTAGGAGAGCTAGTGTTCAAGTCGGCCGACTGCTGGAATACCTCGATGGTTGCCTTTGCAATATTGTCCAGTAGGTTGTTCATTTCAGCCACAGACCCAGAGCCCTAGAGTCAGACATAAGAGAACTAGGACACGTGCGTTCTACTTTCTCTTCAAACCTCAAAATGTTTTCGCTTTTCTAAAACGTTATACACATACGTGCTTTCCATATATACTCACAGGGTCCTTCAGACACTGTTTGATCATTAACTGAAGTTCTAGCCAGGACTGCCTCAATGTCCACTGCTCAAGATTCTGGGGAGAATACAAAGAGTTTACAACATTAGCAACGGTGAAGAGGTAGCAAAATATAACACATCACTTCCTGTAGTATTCCGTCTCTCATGAAAGATTAGAATGGTCAAACACACTAAAGTGACTTATATGGATCAAACAGCTTCCGGGCCTATGGATACATTTCACGTAGACACAAAGAAATAAACAAAGCCTGTTGCTGTCAAGTCAATTCCGACTCAAGAAATAAACAGCACCTTTAAAATAATATGTCTGATTCTGCTAGGCACTGGTAGTAAATAAGGCAATCATTTTTTTCCTCTTGAAATCTATTTATCTATAACAAACCCCACCCCCAAATGGTTTCAAATCTTAAATAATATATTTAAAACAGTCCTCCCATGAAGCTAATTTCTCGTGTAAATCCAGTATTGACTTATGAATATTTATCTGATGATTATATACAATTTGCAGCAACTATATGTACCCAGCAAGGAAGTATGATAAGCATACGTAAACTAAAAATGAGCAAATAACAACCAGAGCTAATTGAAATCTGGAATTAGCTAGCAATGACCAAAAAAAGAGAGAGAGAGAGTGGAACTCTTACTATAGTCACAAAAAATGTTTCAAATGACAGAAACACACCTTTAAAAATAGCCTGCCTACCTGAAGGATACGCTTGATGTGCTGTCTTTGGAGATTGTCCCCCTCAGGGCACTCTTTAATGCCATGAGGGTAACAGATAAGCTGTAATAACTTCTGTGCTTGTATATTCGAAAGCACGGGGTCCAGTATGAGTTCTTTGTCCGTACAGAGTCTTTCAGGTTCTTTTAAGCAATGTTCTCCCACCCATTCCTAAAAATAATATGGATGTTAGATGCATGGGTACTGATTTTTTTATAGATGCATGTGATACGGACTGAATCGATGGTGCACAATAGAATATAAAGCCTAGAGGAATATCCCAGTTTTAAAAAAATTACATGGAAACAGGTGGGAAAAGTTTTAAGGACAAAACCTGTAGCATTTTCAATTCTCAAAAATAAAATGTAGAAACCCTGGTTAAAGAAAAATTTAAAAAATTGATAGGCCCCAAAAAAAACCCAACAAAGAGAATTAAGTAAAGAAAATATTGGTATGTTTTCAACTAGAAAATGGGGCCCAGCTCTAGGTACTGTTTGTAACCGGGTTTTTTTTTTGTCGTTTTTTAAACTGGACATTTAATAATAATGATTCTGTATTATAATCTGCTCATTATTTTTAGAGACTATATTGTACTATACTAAATTGATAGAACATAATACAACAAATCCCACAATGTTACATATTTAGAAAATTTTCTTCCCTTTTGGTACTATTATAAATAACGTTTACTATTGTAAACAAACATTTGTGCACATCTACAATTATTTTTTTAGGAGAATTTCATAGAAGTGCAATGGCTGGGTCAAAGGCTCTAACAAAAAATTTAGGCTATTGGTGTAAATAGTTAATTATTCTCCAGAGTGTTTCCACCAATTTAAAATCTTATCAGCGGCTCCTCACCATTCTTTTAAAGCCCAATTCTTCTACTGAATGGAGGAGTAACAAATCATCAACAATAACAGCCACCTGCACTTGAGGGGCGACTAGTTGCTGGGATCATGCCGAAGACTCCACTTACATCACTTCATCAAACAGCTTTCAACAGTGGCAGAGCCAGATCTGAATCCCAGTCTGTTTCAGATGAAGCTTGTTCCTGACCCACTACACCAGGGGTTCAATGCTGGTTGTCCATTAGAATCACCTGGGGATGCTTTCTAAAATTCCAGCACTCAGGCCCCACGTAAGACCAGCTAAATCAATCTCCGGTGGTGGGACCCACATATCAGTAATTTTTTAAGAACACAAAAAGTGTTTTAAAACTCCCCAGGTGATTCCAATCTGCAGCCACAATTGCTAACCGATGCACAGCCGCCTTCCAATCAGTATCTATTTTCTACCCGTTACAATGGGTACCTACCCACTGCTGTCGAGTCGATTCACAGTGATCCTATAGGACAGAGTAGAAGTGCCCCACAGAGTTTCCAAGGCTGTAATCTTTACAGAAGCAGATTGTCACATCTTTCTCCCAAGGAGCGCCTGGTGGTTTTGAACTGCCAACCTTTTGGTTAGCAGCCAAGTGCTTCCACTGCCGAGCCACCAGGTCTCCTCTAACAGTGATTACAGTAACCCTTAATAACAACGTGATCCTATCAACCTCATCACTACTGTGTAACTCTGGGCTTACGATGTTAACAACACATTAGCATGATAAGCCATGGTGATTTTTTTAGATATCAACAGCAGATGGAAGTTTATGAAGTTTCATGAGGAGCAAAATATTTGCATTGTCTCAAAGTGTCTCCCCAAAGACTGCTTATTAATTGCAAGGGCAAAAATAGTAACTACATAGTGGAGACACCTTGATTAAAATTAACATCACTATTGAACCCTGGTGGCACAGTGGTTAAGAGCTCAGCTGCTAACCAAAAGGTCAGTAGTTTGAATCCACCAGCTGCTTCTTGGAAACCCTATGCGGCAGTTCTACTCTGTCCTGTAGGGTCGCTATGAGTTGGAATCGACTTGACAGCAACGGGTTTGGTTTTCTCTATTTTTACTGAGGGAGAGAAGGGACATCATTTGCCTTCAGATACGATACCCTGGGGAGGACACAACTTTACTTCTGTAGTATCCTATCTAGGTATGCATAATCTGAAGCTAATCCACAGAAACCCACAGATAAGGCTCCATGGAAGAACAGCATTCTATAAGATAGCTGGTCAGTATTTTATAAAACTATCAATGCTATCGAAGAAAAAGAAAGACTGAGAATCTGTTCCCAATTAAAGGAAACAAGATACATGGCAACCAAGTGCAAGACTTGATCCTAGGCTTAGCCTATACTGGAGGAGGAAAATAGTGCCATAATGGGCATAATTAGGACAGCTGACGAAACTGGAAAGCAGCCTGTAAATTAGAAAAAAGTACTGTATCAACGTTAAATTTTCTAATTTTTGATAACTGTACTTTGGTGGTTATGAAATACACACTGAAGTATTAAAAAATAAAGGAGCATGATATAAGCTATCTACTCTCAAATAGTTCATAAAAAATAACAGAGATGTGCACACACATTCACACACACCAATCAAATTATATAGCAGACGTGGCAAAATGTAAAAAAAAAAAAAAAGAAAGAAAAACCAATCTGTGTAAAGGGTATACTAGAGTTTGCTTTATTATTCTTGCAACTTTTCACCAAATTATTTCAAAATAAAGTTACCACCTATATACAAGTTTCCTACAAAAGTGAGCAGCTGTCTCAGAAAGAGGCATTGCACTTTCAAAGTTAAAGGACAATTAAATTTGTCAATTAAATACCTGTTGACAGATAGTCCTCAGGACGTGTCTAGCATATTCTCTTAAATTGGCAGTTTCTATGGAAATGCTTTTCCCACAGGATTTTGAGTTTTGTGAGGCAGTCCAGATATCATCAGCATTCCCATCACGCCGTAAACCCCTCATGGTGAAGTCATCATTCTTTAAAGAGCTGACATTGTTATTGCCAATTTTGGCATCTCCTGAATAACAGAATCACAAAAGCAAAATCATAGCAGTTCAAAATACTGCCAGATATTTGAGAAGCAAACGAGGCTAGCTTTCAGGGAGTTAAAATTGAACGGTATCCTGACGGCACACCCAGTTGTTCAGAAACAGAGTGAATGGATGAATAAATGCAAGAACCCAGAGAAGCGAGAAAACGCAAATTCAAGACGCATTCCTAATTTTGCTTACAGAATTGAATACTTTCACCGAACCTGGAAAGGCCACTATGAGTCACGCTCAATAATTACAGAACATTGGTTTCACCAGTATTCAAGCACAATGTATTCAAATTCATGTGACTTATAGACAAGGAAAAAAACGGGTTACTCACCCTTCTAGATGTCCCTTTTCCATTTCTTCTCTTACATTGACTTATTTTCTATCCATAGGTCAAGAGAAAAGTTTTGCCTTAGCCCACCTTACTATCAACTTCTTGACAAGAGAGATTTATTTCCCTGGGAATGGAAAAGGGCAATGCATACTAAGGAAGCCCTGTGAAGTAGGGCATTCATTGAATAACCCATGTCTTTCACTCTCCTCTCTGTAAACGTCTAAATTAGAAAACCTTACCTGAACAACCTCTAATATACTCAGTGAAATGATGGCTAAGAAAAAGATTTCCCACATAACAAAGTTCTGAGGTGGGGGGGGGGGCAGAGAAGAGAGCTAGAAATAAGAAATTTGCTCTTGCCATGACAAATAGCGGTCGTATTTTAAAAGTAGGAGAGTAACATAACTGGAAATAAGGATTGCCAGATGACAACAGAGCCTTCAGCTTTTGTCTTTGCACCCACAGATCGTAAGCCTTGAACAAGAGAATTTCCTGGAACCAACAAATGAGCTTAGATGAAGTTTTCACTGCCTGCCACAACGGAGCAGAAACAAGCCCAGGTCAGTGCAAAAATCCTTTTAAAAGCCACAGGTCAATCAAGACAAAGTGCTGACTCTGCTGAGACCATCTGAAAAGCTAAGAATGGCTAAATATTTACTTATAAAATGGTAAAAGGAGGGGAGAATAAACAACACATTTCAATGCACGATATCATACATTTCTCATTGAAATACAAATATAAAAAGCACTAACTTCATTTCACCCACACGAGTTTATCTAATTCAAAGAGTTCTTTGGTATCTGGAGGAGAGACCAATTTTTTTTTATTGTAATTTAGATGAATGTTTACAGAACAAACTAGCTTCTCATTAAACAGTTAGTACACATATTGTTTTGTGACACTGGTTAACAACTCCCAGGACATGTCAACACTCTCACCTTCTCAACTTTGGGTTCTCTATTACCAGCTTTCCTGTCCCCTCCTGCCTTCTAGTCCTTGCCCCTGGGCTGGTGTGCCCCTTTAGTCTTGTTTTGCTTTATGGGCCTGTCTAATCTTTGACTGAAGGGTTAACCTCAGCAGTGACTTCAGTACTGAGCTATAAGGGTGTACGAAGGTCATACTCTTGGGGTTTCTCCAGACTCCGTGAGACAAGTAAGTCTTTTTTTTTGTTGTTGTTGTTCTACATTTTTCTCCAGCTCTGTCCAGGACCCTCTATTGTGATCCCTGTTAGAGCAGTCGGTGGTGATAGCTGGGCACCATCTAGTTGTGCTGGACTCAGTCTGGTGAAGGCTGTAGTACTTGTGGTCCTTTAGTCATTTAGACTAATCCTTCCCTTGTGTCTTTGATTTTCTTAATTCTCCCTTGCTCCAGACAGAGTGAGACCAGTGGAGTATCTTAGATGGCTGCTCTCAAAATTTTAAGAGCCCAGACGCTACTAGCTAAAGTAGAATGTAAAACATTTTCTTTATAAACTATGTTATGCTAATTGAGCTAGATACTCTCCGAGATCATGGAGAAGGAGAGACCAATTTTTATAAGTACCAAATTTATTTAGTATGCTTTCTCCAGCCTTTGCCGATGTCAACAATTATTTCTATGCCTCAAGTTAAACTACCACAAAAATTAGAACCAAAATTCTATAAGACATTCCCAGTTGCCTAACTCAAAATAGATCCTGGTAGATGAGAATTGAGGGATCATTGGTTAGGACGTGATAAGGTAGAAAAATTATAATGTCTGCAAAAACATTAACAAACAAACATGTCTGCTAGTCATAGGCCGGGGGGATCCCCACCCAGTTCAGATGTTAGGATGACAGAGAAGGTCTGGAAGGCTATGTCAGAATCTGCTAGCATCTTATAGACAACAGAACAAATAGATGTTCAAGTGATTCCCTGATCCAAGGCTCTGCTAACATTCAATTGGCCTGACTGAGACTTCTCAGGCCTGAAGACCCAACCAATTCACTGCTTAGGAAGCTGCAGAACCCATCGAGACCTGAGGTCAAGTAGAAAGATCAAGGGTGATTATGCATGGATATACAAATATGGTTATTTGGATATTTACAGAGATTAAACCAGTCCTACAAATCATGGGGCCAAACAAATCATTTTTGTTTCTGGCATTAAGGTATTGTCACTCATGCATTCACATTTACAACATTGGTTTATTGAAAACCTAGTATTTGCTAGTCTCTCTGGTGGACATGAAAGATAACACAGTAAAAAACATCAGTCCATGACTTCATAGTTCCTGCATTTACTTATTAGGTAGAACTGACCAGCCGTCTTTCCCTTCAAACATCATCCAGGTAAGGAAATTCTACTTACTGAAATGAGTGTTTAAATGTTGGCTGTGTAATACTACAAGTGCCTACACCCAGGGAAGAGGCTACAGCCCGCCATGTGGTTCTACCCTTCCCTTTCACTAAAAAATCCATAGGCATTCCAAAGGAATATATATGTATGTACAAATATTTTTAAAGGTGAACTTTTAATAGTTTGTTTTATGAAAAGCCTGCTATCCTCCTCCTCAGTGTCACCAAGAAATGTTTCTCAAGCAGGAGTATAAAAGAAAGTTATTGGGTTATATCCTCGAATGTGCTCTTTAAGACTCATCTATAACAACTATCCACTCAGTAACCTCCATTCTAATCAAAGGGAGCTCTTTCAGAACACAAGATGGAACTTTGTTTAGCCAAGGTCAAACTGGGTACCCAAAACTGGAATTACCCAGTTGCTGTTGAGTCAATTCCAACTCATGGTGACCCCATGAGTTTCAGAGTATAACTGTGCTCTATAGGGTTTTCAATGGCTATGATCTTTCAGAAGTAGATCACCAGATCTTTCTTTCGAGGTGCCTCTGGGTGGATTCAAACCTCTAACCTTTCTACTAGTGGCTGAACACTTAAACGTTTGCACCACCCAGAGGCTGTATGGCAGCCGAACTCTTAACCACTATGTCACCGGGGTTACCCAAGTTGGAATTACAGAATCAATATTCAAGACTTCCTAATAATTCAAATCCTTAATGATTTATGTTATTACACTGTAAGTTATTACACTGTAAATGAACAAAAGAGGTAGTAGTACTACTCCTGGAGAATATAAATCATAAAGAATGTAAAGGGCACCTTGGACATTATGAATCAAACCAAACATACAAAAAAAAAAGTATTGTGCTATCAAATACTGGTTTATCAATATCACTGAAATCATCACCTGATTCATGAAAGACTAAGTCAGAATGACATAAGCTTGCTCAGGGTCACAAGTGAAGCAGAAACACTAAGATCAAGGCCCAGGTTTTCTGGGGTTCTAGTACTGGCTGAAATTTAAACCTTTGGTGTCAATCAATCTATGAATCTCAAAATGGGAGGTTAAATGACCAAGTCATCCTTGATCATCCAAAAGGGCGATTTTTGCCAACATAAAGAAGACAAAACGGAGGTGGGGCCAAGATGGCGGAGTAGTCAGATGCTCCTGGTGGTCCCTCTAACAACAAAGACCCCAAAAAACAAGTGACTCAATTATATATGGCAACCTAGGAGCCCTAAACATCAAAGACAAAGTTGAGGAATCAGACTGAGTGGCAGGGGGAGGGAGAGATGGTTCAGAGCAGTGAGGAGTTGCCAGATCTGACCTGGTGGGAACCGACACCCTGCAGGCTAGATTGGCTGGCGTGCATGATGAGGCAAGCAGTGGCATTTGGGACACGTTTTCCACACTGAGAGAGAACAAGCAGTGGAGAGTCTACTCAAGCCTCCAGAACCAGTGAAAAGTTGTGATCAATCAAGTACATGCATCTAACACACCACAAGGATCAAAAAACACCCCATTTGGGAAGAACCTCTCTCCCATTTGCCTGCCTCCTCCCCACCCTACACCAGGTCCCGGGCCGGCTTCAGCGACTGCCGTGTCCCCTGGGCTGGAAGTAGGACCCATTATGTGCCCTGAGCCACTCTCCTGGCCTTGGAGAGGGAACAAATTAACAAACAGGAAAAAATAATCTGCCAGCTCCCCTAAGCCAGGAACTCAGGGCAGGCACAGATCCTTTGCACAGGACAAGCATAAGGGGTACACGGACTTTGAATGCCTTTTACCCCTGCACTGACTTGTGTGGTCCCATTTCAACAGCATAGGCCCTCATTAGCACAATAAACAGGGTTATATACCTGAACTTAACTTCAACTGTATCATCTATATGGTGGAGTGGCAGGCTCGTGACATTTCACACCACTCTGCCCATTAAGCAGGGTCCTCACCTACCCACATCAGGGGCCTGAGGACTAGTGGCTCCACTCACGCCACCTAGCCACCTGCGACAGGGGTCCAAGAAAAAGTGGTGCCTCCCAATCCTTACAGCCAACAGCACTGGTGCCCACAGTCCGGCTAAAAAACCCACCTACCTACACACTCTAGGAAACAGGGACACACTATCATGCCAGACACTAAGGGGCAGCCATCAGCCCCCTGCCTTACTTAGCATATAACCCCCAAATGCAGCCAAATACCTGTGTCTACTCCAATCACCCCTGCCCATCTAGGACTGTAGGTGAGAGCCTGCACCATACACTTGGTGACTGACTACCTGGACACCTGAGCTGAAATCATACAAGAAAAGTAAATGGATGCCTGTGCTCA